ACAAAAACATTATTGAGAATTTCAGACATGTATATAAGATGTTTTGATCAAATCCATGCCCAATCCCTCTACTCCAACATTCCCCCCGTCTGAAGAGGTAACCCTAAAATCTTTTAAGGATTAGATACAAGCTCCCATATACTTTTGACATTTTTGGCCTTTGGAACAGAGTATGTTGCCAAGAGGCCCAAGGACATTTTGACTTTTAGCTAAGAAACTGGCTACTTTTGGGGGGGGGCTTTTTACACTAACTGCCTAGCCAATTCCTACCTCCTATTATTACACCATCCTCTGAAGAGGTTACCCAGTTTGCAGATAGGGAATTGGAACGCAGACCACTCTAGCTTCTTCCATGCTGAATAGGGATGCAGGGAGGCAATTGGGATACCCCTTCAGTGGGTCTATCTAAAAGACTCCCAAGTTGCATAACTCTTATCTGTAGGGGGGAAAGAAAATCCTTGACTGGTGAATAGGAGATGTGAAGGAGAATAAAGGCAAAAGTAATTAGTATTACAAGTTCTAGACAGGGAACTAGAAAAAAGTCAGAACAGGGAAAATTTCAAATGTTCATATGAGAGTCCATTGGACTTTCTTGACTAGAGCTTCTAAAAGCATCCCTCTGTTGGGTTCCTCCTCATTTTTCTTTTGTCTGCCAACGCTGGTCTCCAGAGTGATGGATTCAGGATTTGCTTTCAGGCACTTTGATAGCTGTTGGAGTGGCTAGAATCAGTGTCAGTCAGTGTCAGTTCCCTCTGAAAGGCTTCTAGATAGGGGCAGAAAACAAATTTAACCATCATTTTAGAACAGTTTTTCTCTCTTAGCTACAGGTGGACACTACAGTATTGCAGATGAAAACTTGAAGTCTTATGTATGAGCAGCATTTTCTGATTCAGAACAAAATCATCAATGAGAAACAATTGTCTAAATAACTTTTTATATGGACTTAAGCCTAATGTCTGAGAAGCATAATCCCTTGAACTCTTAAAGAAATATACTGATCACTCTTTGGTTATACTTTCTTTTTGGGTTGGTTGTGCTCCTTCATTAAAGAAGGGACAAACAGGGTCATTGGACCCTCACCAGAGTATCCAGCCACTCTTCCCAGCCAACTGTATGTAATTTGGCCCTAATCACACATAGTCTCCTAGATATGGGGAGGGTTAAAGTATACAGTCTGGGGAAGGCTAGTTAGAGAAGGCTTGACCCATGCTGGGTAGAGGCTTCCCAGTGTGCATACCCTCAGGTCATTCATACACCTCAGCTACCCCTCAGTTATTTTGGTAAGTAAGCTTAATAAATTTGTTGGATCCCCAGTAAAACTTTAATCAAACATTGGCTTGACACTAGAACCTTAAAAGGGAATAAACATTGCTTAGTATCCCAAGGAAAAGAATTCTCACAACAGATGGAAAATTTGTTAATGTTATTGTATCTTATAATTTTTAGTAAAAGAAAATGAGAATGTAAAAGATGTTAAAAGGTTATGAGAATGGAGATATTTTCCAAAATAGGTAAAAAAATGAGAAAGCCTAAGCAAGTGATGAAAGTCTGTGTAGGTTTGTTATGATTTATAAAGGATGAGACAAAAATAATATATACATAATCTTAAAATTTCTAAGGTCATAGTTTAGTCAACTAGTTTAGGGAAGAAAATATATATCTATTCAAGATTTATCTGAGAACATTTGTTTTTTTACTCAAGCTTTATCTACATAGCACATGGTAATTAAAAGTAGCAGACTGTTGGAACTAACCCTCTTGGATGTTTAACAGTCATACTTTGAGGCCTATACTAATCTGGTCAGAGGGACTTAAAGGACAGTTTTTGCCCCTTGCCCTCCAAGGTTGACTAAGTTCCAGGGGACTATGGAACATCTCTCAAAATGTCCTGTAACTGTGGTGAGTCACCTGTCCTCTTGTTCAGGGAGGACATGGAAACCCCACCAGATGGACTTGAACCAGTGTCTAGTCTACAAAGAGGAAGGTGAACTCAGAGGAAACATTTCCTCCATGCTTCCAAGTGAAGCCAGCCATAGTTGAGTAGGACCTTTGACTTCTCTTCACATAGATGGAACTGGTAAAAGAAAGGAGCCGGGGGCTCCTCCCAAGCCCATGTGACCCTTGAGGAACAGATCCTCAAATGACCTTAAGTGTAAATATAAATTGACTTATTTTGGCCAACTGTATGGTCTTAAACACCCAAAAGGATAATTTTATCTTTAAAAAATATTTTATTTTTATTATTTTCATTTTTGTATGTATATGAGTGTATTGCCTGCATGCATATAACTGTGCCTGTGCCCATGGAGGTTAGAAGAAGGTGTCAGATTCCCTGGAACTGAAGTTAAGGACAATTGTTAGCCACCATGTGGGTTCTGGGGACTGAACCCAGGTCCTCTACAAGAGCAGCCAGTGCTCTTAACCACTGAGCCATCCATCTCTCCAGCCCAATGATGGCTACTGTTAATTGACCACCCTTGACAATTTAGAATTACCTGGGAAGGGAATTTCAACGAAGCATTGTCTAGATCAGGCTGGCTCATGGGTATGTCTGTAGGGAATTATCTCAATTACATTAATTGATGTGGGTGTAAGGCAGCATTCCCTGGGCTTAGGATCTTAGGCTGTGTTAAAAAGGAGAAAGTGTGTTAAGCATAAGCAGCACACACTCATTCTCTCCCTTCTCTTGACTATGGATGTGAGCAGCTGCTTCCAGCTCCTGCTGCCTTGACTTCCTTGCCATGAAGGTCTGTAACCTGGAATTGTGAGCTAAAATGGAACCCTTTTCTCCTAAATTTCTTTTGTTTGGGTATTTTATCACAGCAACAGAAAAAGAAAATAATGCAACCAGCTTGCCTATTATAAGTAATGTTAATAATGATAATACCTAACATTTGTTAAACACTGAATTTGTGCCAGGCAGATTCATGAATGCTATTCAGTATACATTCTCTTGTTTCATCCTCACAAAAGTTGACCAGGTCATGCTGTTGTCCTTTCTGTTTTATGGTCAAGGGAACCAGAGTAAAAGAAGCTATCCAAGATCTTGTAACTAGGGATTGTGGAGTTCGCATTCACAGTGATGTGCCTTGGGGCTGGGGTGATGGTATACTGAATTGTGACAGATAGCACCGAAAGCAGAGGAGGAGTTGGCCTGAAGATGGTCCTGCCTAGTGTCATAAAGGACAGTGAGGGTGAGGACCAGACCCTCAATGGAGACTCTGGAATTTCTTTTTTTCCAGATCACGTCTGATGGATTTCCAGACCCACTGTCATCCTATGGATATCCTAGGGACTTGTGCCACAGAGCAGTCCAGATGCCTGCGGGCTTACCTGGGGCTGATTGGTGAGGCTGGGACATATGGAGGGAGCTAGTAGGTTGGTTAGCTCTGAGGTGAGAATGCTCTGGAGACTGAACCTGGGATTGATGTGGTCCTGACATAGGTTGAAAAAGGTGGAGGCCAAACTTAGAGTTAGCCTAGGTCCTCACAGCCATTTCCCCTCTTCACCACACAGGGACTGCGATGACCCCTAACTTTATCAGCAAGGTCAATGCTAGTGTTTCCTTAAGCTGCACCTGCAGAGGCAGTGGCAACCAGCAGGAGGAATGTGAACAGCTAGAAAGGTCCTTCTCCCAGAATTCCTGCCTCAGTGAGTATGTGCCTCTTACTTCCTGTCTGTATGGCCAGGTCAGCTATTGCCAGGGGGAGTGGAGGGGCCAGTTGTGTTTCCCAGGCTGGTCCTGTCCATCTCCTTTAGTCAGAGCAGCCCTCTTCTGGGCATAGGCCTCCATCCTCTCAACCTGAGTCTTTCTTTCTTCTCCCACTCTTTGAGTGAACCCCATGCTACCTACTCAACCTGTTCAGGCCCCAAGGAGCTTGAACTAGCAAGTTCCAGGGGCTCATGGCATTCCCAAGGAGCTGGAACTAACAAGCAGAATGAGTCAATAGCCCATCCCCACTTCCCACCCTGTACCCCAGGGACTTACTGCATTCCCTTTCTTACCTTGGGAGTCTGAGAAATCTGTCACTCTGCCCTTCCAATCTACTTTTTCTCCTCTGCTTAGTGGAAGCCATTGCAGCTAAGATGCATTTCCACAGCCAACTCTTCTCCCAGGACCGGGCACACCCTACCTTTACTATGATACAACAACAGGTAGGGCTTCTTCTGTTATATACCTCAAAGTTTTACAGCATCTGCTGGGGAAAATCCAAACCAAGCAGACAGAAGAACAAGGTGAGAGAATTGCCATGAATACCGTAGACCTCTGATGGGACCTCTGCAGCTCATGGGAAGAGGACAGTCATGACAGGCTTGGGTGGTGGAAGGGGTGAAGATTGTTCCCTGAGCTGACTCTGTTCCATTTCTTCCACAGAATCAAAACTCTGCTCTGAGGCCACAGCCCGAGGTCCTCTTTCTTTCTTCCTGCCTACTTACCTTGATTCTGCTTCAGACCCTCTGGTAGCTGGACTTCCCCAGGGTCCTTCCTCTCCACCACCCCCAGACTCTTTTGCTGGGTGAGAAAATGACAGTCTCTGGAAAGAGATCTGGTATGCTACATGGTGACCTGGAACCACTCAGACATCCTTCCTGATACACATTGTGTCTGCTCCAGATGAGGTCTTACCAGAAACTAGAGGCTATGACTTTCAGATTCTGAGGTCATTGGCTAGTTCCTAAACTTTCTTTACCCCAGCTTCTGACTCTGGCTACTCTTCCTTGGGACTTGGTGACCACCATTTGTCCATATTTTCTGGTTGTGGCCAGCTTTTTCCTGATTCCTTCTTCCTGTTCACCAGGACCACCCTGAGTCTAACAAATCAGTCACTCCCTATTGCATTCTCCAGGTAGGCAGGGCTGAGAGTTCTGAGGCAGCCTAGAAAGACATTCCCCTTGTAAGAAAGGCTGGAGCTCCTACCCCTCATCCCCTCCTCTGAATGGAAGATGAGAACTTGTGGCCTGTACTGCTCTACCCTGTGATCCTGAACATTTGGGCATCAAGAGTGGAAGCCTTTGTGTCTTGCTTAACTCTTACTACTATCCCCAAGTCCCCCTAACCCCTTGGATCATAATTAAACATTTTGACCTAAAACTTTTCTCTTTACCCATTGTCTTAAATTGTAAATTTTTATATTTTTATTTATTATTTTGAGTCATGCAATGCCTGGTCAGAGGTCAGAAGAGGGTGTTGGGTCCCCTGGAACTGGAGCTACAGACAGGTGTTAGCCACCATGTGGGTGCTGGGAATCACACAGTTCTCTGCAAGAGCAGCCAGTTGCTCTTAACTGCTGAGCCATCTCTCCAGCTCTCTCTTTTCACTTTCTTGATAAGATCCTTTAATATACCTTTCTTTTAAAACATTTTTATTTATTATTTTTATTTTATGTGTATGTGTGTATTGCATGTATGTAGGTAGGTGTACCTGTGTTGTTCAATACCCCCAGAGATCAGAAGAAGGCATCAAATCCCCCGGAACTGGAGTTACATATAGTTAGCTGCCATGTGGGTGCTGGGAATCGAACCTGGGTCCTCTGCAAGAGCAGCCAGTGCTCTTAACCACTGAACCATCATTTCTCCAGCCCTTTTAATTGTAATTTAGAACTAAATGGTATGTTACAGACACAGGGTACTGGCCAGATGTTGAAGACACATAGCAACCCTATCACTAACTGCTATGCAACTTCAGGCCAAACTCTCAGCCTCTCTTGACACAGGGCTGGAAGAAAAATAGTATAAGTAAATAAGGTGATGGACCTGGTATCCATCCCAGTTCTAGCTGATTCTGGGATCCTGCCTGAAATCTGCCACAGCAGCTGAGAAGGGGGGCCTTAGTCAACCATTTATTGAACATCTGCTTGTGTTACTGGTTTGCTCCAGATCATAATAGGTCCAGAAGAAAGCAGAGACTGTTCCTTGCTCTCAGGGAATTTAGTCCTTAAACTAAGGAAACACCTACCTATGCAAAGTAGTTGGAAGAATATATTTATAGAGCTGTGGGCATTTGCTTATTCATTAATTTACTCTTTCAGTAAGCATCTTATTAATCCTGGCTTTGTAAGACACTCTATGGGGTGGAGGAGGTTCCAAGGTAATAAAATTCAGAAACTATTCTTAAACAGTTCACATACCAGAGCAGAGAAACAGATAAGTCAATAAAAGCAACACAGTGTTATAAATGCTCTAAATAATTATAATAACAACCCTCATTTGTTGAGCTTATATTGTGTTCCAAACACTACTTCATATGTATTGTTTGCAATCATGCATTGATTCATTTAACCCTCTGTTGTGGTTTAAATGTGAAATATTCTCCCAGCTAGGCATGGTGGCACATGCCTGTAATCCTAGCACTTGGGAGGCAGAGACAGGTGGATCTCTGTGAGTTCAAGGCCAGCCGGGTCTACATAGTGAGTTCCAGGGCATCTGGGGCTACAGGGAGACCCGTCTCATAAAGACCAGAAAAAAAAAGTGAAATATTCTCCCATAAGTCAACAGCCACACCAGCTCACCAGCTAGCTATATGCCTAATCTTGTCTGAAATGTACCCCATAAATTCATGGTTTTTTTTGTTTTTGTGACAGGGTCTCTCATATAGTTTAGGCTGGCCTTGAACTCACTGTGTAGCTGAGGATGATCTTGAACTCCTGATCCTACTTCTTCTTACTTCTCAAGTGCTAGGATTATAGGTGGGCATACCATGCCTTGCAGGTTTTATTTTATTTTGAGACTAGACCTCACACAGTAGCCCAGGTTGGGACTCCATATGTAAGTCAGGTAGGCTGGCCTTGAAATTCTGGCAGTTCTCCTACTTCAGCAGTTACCATGCCTGACTTTTTAACTACTGGAGCTGGGAATCAAACCTAGGGCCTGTACACACTAGGCAAGAGCTCTTACCACTGAGCTACATCCCTAGCTGTACCCCATACACACTATTTTTTGGAGACAGGGTCTTGTCATGTAGCATGTAGTCCCACCTGGCCTTGCTATGTAGCACAGGTTGGCCTCAAGCTTCAAGCTTCTGGAGGTCTCCTGCTCAGCACTGGGATTATAGGCAAAGTGTTTGAGCACTTGATTCCTGTTTAGGGAGGTTTTGTAACTTTTAGGAGGTAGGGCTAACTGGAGGAAGTAAATCTCTGTGGTGTGGCTCTAGATTTATGCTAGACCTTACTCCTTATCTGCTTCTTCCACTGCTGATGTGGAGGCAAGCATCATGTTCCTGCCATAACAGCTACAAGCCACTCCCATGCCATTCCTTCCCTGCCATGGTAGCTTTATATCCCCTCAAGCTATGAGCCAAAATAAATTCTTTCTCTTAACTGCCTCTATCAAATATTTTGCCACAGTAATGAGAAAAATAATGTATCCTTCAACAAGACTTGGCTTTGTTATCCAAGAGCTATGCAGCCTTGGTCTGGATGTCTCTGGACTTCACCAAGTCACATCTGTAACATGTAGAAGCATTGATCCTCCTTTGTAAGGAATAAGGTAAGTCATGTAAAAGCACAATGCCTAACAGTAAGAATGCAAGAATGAACAATTATGCTATATGATTTAGGAGGGCATTTGGCAAATACAATTCTGAAGAAGAAAGGAAAATCTTTAAAACCCCACTCTCAAACTTCCAGACTCTTCCTTACACATCTATAACCATGAGAGTCTTTAGGTATGTTTAGTTTTATGTATTTGGGGTCCCACAATACACATCGAAGTGTAACCTGAAAGCATGTTTAGGTATCTGTAAGTAGAGCCTCAGCTGCACCATTCTCTGCATCTGTACAACATATGCATATTCATGCATGTATGAATGCATGTTTGTATAGTTTATTGAACTAATTCTGTGTCTGTCTGGTTGTCTTTGTGTTTTTAAATTAAAAGAATATTAAAATTTGTATTTCATGTGTATGAATGTTTTACCTGCATGTGTGTAAGTGCACCATGTGTATGCAGTCTCCTTGGAGGCCAGAAGAAGATATCAAATCCCCTGGAACTGGAGTTCCAGACAGTTGTTAGCTGCCATGTGGGTGCTAGGAACAGAACCCAGGTCCTCTGTAAGAGCAGCCAGTTTTCTTAACTGCTGAGCCATTTCTCCAGCCTTGTATTTTAATCTTTTTTTCTAATGTCTGTAAAAACGGGCATGCCATTGTGTGTGTGTGTGTGTGTGTGTGTGTGTGTGTGTGTGTGTGTAGGTCAGAGGAAAACTTGAGGGAGATAGTTCTCCTTCTACCATATGGGTCCCAGGGATCAAACTCAGGCTTGGTAATAAGTTCTTCTACACACTGAACCATCTCACTGGCCCTCATTGTTTTTCAGACAGGGTCTCATGTAGCCCAGGCTTGCCTCCAACCTGCTGGGTAGCTAAGGATAACCTTCAGCCCTGATCCTCCTGCCTCTACCTCCCAAGTGCCACAATGCTTGACTTAGTTCATTTTTTTATTATTATTTTTATTTTATGTGTGTGAGTGTATTGCCTGCATGTAGGTAAGTGCACCCATGTTGTGCAGTGGCCGCGAGGACAGAAGAGGCTGTTGGATCCCCTGGAACTGGAGTTGACAGTTGTTAGCTGCCATGTGGGTGCTGGAATTTGAACCCGGATCTTCCGCAAGAACAACCAGTGTTCTTAACCACTGAGCCATCTCTCCAGCCCCCATTTTTTTTTTTTTTTGGTGTTTTTGAGACAGGTCTCCCTGTAGCCCCAGCTGTCCTGGAACTCACTATGTAGACCAGGCTGGCCTCGAACTCACAAAGATCCACCTGCCTCTGCCTCCCAAGTGCTGGGATTAAAGGCGTGCGCTACCACACTCGGCAGCCTTCATTTTTAAAAATTTTATTTATTATTTTTATTTTATGTGTATGCATATGTTGCCTGCATGTATGTGAGTGCACCCGTGTCATGCAATGCCTCGGCGATCAGAAGAGGATGTTGGATCCCCTGGAACTGGAGTTATGGACAGTTGTTAGTTGTCATGTGGGTGCTGGGCTTCAAACTGGGTCTTCTGCAAGAACAACCACTGTTCTTAACTGCTGAGCCATCTCTCCAGCCCCAACTTAGTCTATTTTTTTTGTGATATTGCTGATAACACACTATCACAGACTTGATAAATTATAAGGAAAAGAGCTTTTTTCCAGGCATGGTGGTGTATCTGTAACTTCAGCTATCAGGAGGCTGAGGCAAGATGATCATTAGTTTAGCATACCCAGATTCCATTTTATTTTTTTAAAGAAGTTTATTTTGGTTCACTTCTGCTCCAAGGCCAAGGGGTTATCTCTGGTGATGGCCTTGCCAGTAGAATCCCTAAGTAGTATTAGGGAATCACAGGGCAAGAGAGATAAGAATCTCTCTCTGTCTCTCTGTCTCTCCCTCTCTTTCTCTTTTTCTCTTACTCAGCCACCAGTACCTGATAGCCTTATCTAATCACCACCTAAAGGCCCAACTCTGAATACCAAGTTGGATTGCTTTTATTTCCTTTTTTGTTTGTTTAATACAGAGTTTTCCTGTAGCCTCAACTGGTCTAGAACTTGTTATGTAGTACAGGCTGGCTTGGATCTCAGAGATCTTTGCCTCCTGAGTACTGGGATTAAAGACCACCACACCCGGCCTTTTTTTTTTTTTTTTTTTTGTGGTGCTGAAGATTGAACCTAGGGCTTCGCATATCCTAAGTGAGCCCTTGTACCACTGAGCTACATTCCCAGCCTTTAAATTTTTTTAATTTTTATATTGATTTTGAGAGATCATTTTACTAAATTGCCCAAGTTGGTTTTGACCTTTTGATTGTGCTGCTTCAGCCTTCTGGGTAGCTGGGATTGTAGTCCTGTACCACTGGCCTGGTCCAGTCTTAAGGCAGGAAGGAAGATGGCTGTGTGGAGGGTGCATATAAGAGCTGTCAGAGGCGCAAAGATGGTTCCATGGGTAAGAATATTTGTCGACAAGCCTGATGAACTGTGTTCGATCCTGGAGATAACATAGTAGAAGGAGAGAACCAACTCCCATAAATTGCTGATTTGTGTCCATGAGTACACACACACACACACACACACACACACAGAAAGAGCTGCCA